ATGAATTTAAATGCAGTACTAGAATGGCAGTAAGGTCTCACCATTTTACAATAGCTAGATGCAGCTGTAAGTTCTATGTTAACAGTTTCTTCTGTTGCACTTCTTGCTTATGGAACACTCTTCTGGCTTCATGCTTTTCAGCCAACTTTGATCCTCAAAAAATTAAATACAATGTCAATCGTTATCTACTATTTTCTTGATTCCTCTTTTATTGTTCTTTCTCCTTAATAATGTTTGACTTTTTCTTATTCTTTCACACATGCTAAGCTTTTGTGTTTTAGTGGTTTTACTGCCTTGCTTGGGGTGAAATGATTAAAAAAAATGTTTACTTCCTATTTTGTTATTTATTTCTGTTATTCAAAAAGGAAAAAAAAATGAAGCGATTTTTGAAAATAATAAATATACACATTTGAAAAAATATGTAATTATGTATGTATAATTTGAATTTTGTCAATATTTACACCTACATAAAGTGTACTGACAGATGGATGCAGTAATTAAATACCTCATTAGGAGTGAACTCTTGGCATTAATAATGGTCTGTAAGATGAACTACTTAACTATCATGTTATATCAGGTAACCTGTATGTCATGTATCCGAAAAGAAAAAATATACAACATTTTATTTAAACATGCAAACATAGATATATCAATAAGTATAATGAAAAAAGCATTTCACATAGCAAATATTTATTTTGGAAAATAACCTCTTTTTTTGTCAACTTGGCCTACATTTAAATCAAGTTGAAAACAGTGGTTCTTGTTCAATCACCAAATTGAAGCAGCACCAAGCTCAGCAATACTTAGATAGGGGGCTGCTTAGGAACACCGGCTACTGTAAGTAACAACATACAATCTGAAATATGTTTCGGCTTTAAATAACCCACAAAGTGTCGATAAACTGTAAAGAGCTTAACCTGACATTTATTCATTAATCACAAAGATTGAACATTATACAATGAATATTGTAGATCAAAATCCAGCTAACTGTATAATGACATGGACTTATTAATCCACATCTATATATATATATATATATATAGGCTGACCACTCGTATCTGAGAATGTCTGTCTACTAGAGCATCTAGCCAATCCCTATTGCAGATGCCTGCTCAAGCATATTTGTCCTTGTTCAATACCCACAGAACCCACTTGTGGTTTATACTGCAACTATGCTAAGCAGATCTTAGTTACAATTTCTGGGAGATAGTGCATTATCTAGCATGATCAACAGTCTGAACAAGGTCAGTGGGCTCAAACTCTTGGTCATGATGACTTGTTACTTCCTTCTACACAACCATTGACAGCTCCCAAGGAGTTCCATCTACCCAATTTTACTCCAAAGGCTTGGATCAACCCCATCGTGTGATTTTTAGGCACTTTCCAAATATGCTGCCCACTAGGATCACCTCCTTGAGATGAATAACATCAAGAAGTTACCTTCTTGAAAAATTGTCCATGGTGAGACTCAAACCCAGATCTCATGGTCAGAAAGCAAAAATTTAACCACTCGGCCACATGCCCATAAATGTAAATGTATATTAGACCACATGAGTCACAGGGATTTAGAAATACTTGGGAATGGTGTACAGTTGAGTGGTTAGCTGTTATATAATGTAGAGGCTGGGCCAGCATGATGAATGATTGGTCAAAATACCTGCTGGGTGTGGACTTCTTATAGTGGCGAATTGCCTGTCTAACATTAAATATGACCAAAATGATGCAAAGTTAACATGGGGCCCACAAAGATTTTTGAAGCATTAACATGTTTTCTGCACTCAGATTTCTTAGCATTCCATCATATGTGGGCTAGCCCCGCTAAGACAACTAGACAGCATGCATTCCCTTGAAGATTTTCCTTCCACTGCCTCTTAGAATCAATGCTACCATGTGTGTCCCTATCATATCATAAAATGAATAAAAAAAAAAAGAAACTGTTTTTCATCAATACAATCTATAAAGTGGCATTGGGGCAACATTGAACACAACAAAACCCACTGGAAGTGTTTGGCTTCTTATCTTTCATTAGTGTATCCAACTAAGGGAAGAAAAGCTTTGATGTAACATTTGAGGTTTGACAACATCTAATGATATTGCTGTTTGTTTCTTTTTTGGGGTACATGCTGTTCTTGATTACAAAGTAGGATTGACCCAGTACAATTTTCCACTTGAAAAATTTAATGCCTTGGCATTGCTTGATATCATTAGATGTTTTTTTGCATGCTGAATACTAAATCTTACAATAATATCTTGTGATGGTTATACTTAATGTGTTAGCAGCCATCATTAGACCATACACAGATTTTAAACAAATGTATCTGCACATCTTGCACATGAATAATGGATAGTGGCTTGGATTGAGGAATTGGAGAACCAAGTTCAAATTCCAGTTGAGTTCATTACATTCACTTATGTGCAAATACTCTTGGAAAAGGTACGAATCCATCTCTTCTCTCCTCAGCTATGAGTAAATTGCAGGACAGACTGTGTCCTATACCCTTGGGTGGTGTTATATTCCGTGATAATAGGAATATATACTTGAAAAACACGGTGGATAAAATAAGTAAAGGTTTATTGTGAAAATAAGAATAAAGGTAACAGTTATACATAAGGCCATCATAAGTCAATCCAGTAGTGAGTGCTACTATTGGAAGGTTAGTACTTCTTTCATAAGTCTGAGTCATACTCAACAGATTCCAGCTAGACTCTGTAGTCCATTGACTTACAGATACTTATAGGTAGTTACTGCCTGTAATGTAGTCACTCATGGGGTTGACAGGTTATTCTATTATATCAGGTGGCAACTGGTCTAGAAGGACAACTCTGAATTCAAAATCTCCAGCTATAGTTTAAATAACCTGCATTTATCCAAGTGTGATGAGTATGGCTACATTTCTGAAGACATGGTTAATCAGGGGTGAGAAGACTCTGGATTTGAATCTGGTGTGCTTTCAGCAAACCTGGGAAGAATACTCACATGCATTTCAAACATGATTTTTTGAATGTTGGGACATTTCCCATCAACTGTTAGAGCCCAGGAAATTCCAGACAAAGTAATTCCCTCCATGGTACCATTGAGTGCAACAGAAATCATTTGGTGACACCATCACCTGTCTGGTATGCTTTATCTTTACAAGAGGTGAGATCAGACCAAAAATGGAGTATGGCTGACACATTTGGGCTGGAGCTGCTCAATTTTCACTTTCCAGCCTTGACAGAGTTTAAAATCATTTACACAGAATGTGGGTGATGAATTATTTCCCACTCTTCAACTCTTTCCCCACAGAGAAAACATTGTTAGCCTCTCATTACTCTAATACTATTTTGATGGCAGATGTACAGACATGCTACTTTCCTCAGTTTCACCAATCCAGACCTTCACGGCTACAGGCAAAGAGTCTACTCATCCTCTTTGTATTCCATTAGTCAGGAGGAAGTTCCACTTAGACAGCTTCAGAAATGTTACATTGTGGAAGAAACTCCTGAAATGATACTTCCTTCATCACTTCATCTTAATTCTTCACATCTAGGGTCAACAGTTATCTCCCTTGCATATGATTATAATATTCACCTCTTATTCCGTTCTTGTATACCCTTACAACAACCACATTCAATAGTTTTAGTGTCTCTTGGGCCTTGTATTGTGTGAACAATAGTATAAAAAAACAACATGCAACTGGTTATACTGGGTTATATGGTGAATAGTGACTTGGAATGAGAAATTGAAGAGCCATGTTCAAATTCCAGTTGGGTTTGTTACATTCACTTATATGCAAATACCCTTGGGAAAGGTATGAATCCATCTCTATCCCCAACTATGGGTTAAATAATAAGTCTTGTTTTTGGAATAAAAACATTGTTATTCTTTAAAAGATATTTTTAATGCAATATTCAATTGCAAAAAAAAGATTTATTCTTACAGTCCAAAATATGTTTCAGCTTTAAATAACTCACAAAGGGTTGATCAACTGTAAAAAAACAAGTCAATCATTGTTTATATGGTACCACAAGCAAAGAGTGATTCCTGATCTGACCTACTATCAAACATTCAAGATGGCCTGCTTTACAAGATTCAAATACTCTAGCAATCCATTTACCTATACTGGCAGGGAGAAGTTGATTCATGCTTTCCCAAGGGTGTATAAATTGAATGCATACGTCAAGGTTTGAATTTGGTTTGCCAATCCCATCCTTCATGCTATTTTTATGTCACTTGTTCTTTTAATATGGACTGGCACATTTTTGATAAATAAATAGGACAGAAAAAAAAAAGAAGCAATTATATTTCAAAAATGGAAATTAAAATTTAAACAAAATGGAATAAGTATAATTATTTATTTTTTTTTGTTTTTGTTTCAAAAGCCAAATAATAAATTGCACATTTTTTTGTGTCTGTTAAGTAAACATTTAAATTATACCAAGGACAGTACTTTGTAGATTTAGAATTTTTTTTAATTTTTTTTTAAATTTTTTTATGTGCAACATTTTTTTTCCTCAGTCCATGCCCCATCAAATACAGGTTACAGGCTTCTGCATAAATTTTCACAATAAGAAAAAAAAAATGAATTGGTTTTTGATGCATTCTATACAACATCCTGGAACTTTCTGGGAACCTTTGCTTGCTGAACAAAAAGAAGAATGCAATTATTATTATTATTATTATTATTATTTATTATTATTATAGATATGCATGCACACACACATTTACACACCTACAGACATGCATGTAAACAAGCAGACACACATCATACACACATACTAACATTAGAAAAATTACCCCATCATTATAATTTCATTTTTTATTTTATTATTATTATAATCATCTTTAAATTCATTCTTTCCCTTTTTTTTTTTTAAACAGTTTTCTGATCATTTATTTATTTTCTTTCTTTGTTTTTTTCTTCTTAATTTTTTGGCTTAATTTTCTTTTCCTGCTTTTCCTGGGTCACAGATCCACAAAAAAAAAAAAAATAAAAATAAAAATGTCTGAGTAGCAGCATTCACTTGAGACTCTGGAAGATCACAATCCGATTCCCTTCCGGATCGTTTATATGCCAGTAGTCTGTGCAGATCTTTATGATCCCACGGATCGTGTAGACGTCCTTCACATGAACGTAGAGGGCAGCCTTTTTCATTGACTGAGTTTTCAGGCCACGGTAAAAAGCAAGCACAAATTCCATCTGCGGTGAGAGTGGCATAATGGAGGTGCAGATTGTGCCACCCGGGGTTCCTTGTTCGATGGGTTTCACCCCAAACAGTTTACTATAAAACTGTTCCATTACACGGAAGTTGCCTTCTTCTTGGACGAAAACCACAAGTTGAACCCCAGCCTGGGGACACCCGGTTTTTACAGCGAGGAGTGGTAGACTAAGACTTTCATGAATAAAGTAATGCAACCCATCGTCAAGGACACGGGCCACAGCACCAGGGAGGACCAACGGTTGCCATCCAACTTCGGGCAGGCTTTGCAAAGAGCGAGCAGCAAGAAGTTGGTTGCTTCCTTGAAACTGCAATGTGATTCCGAGCACAGGAACCGGAAGCTGATTTCCTTTGCTCTGATCGAGCATTTCTTCAGCTGAGGTTGATGACGACATGGTGTGGTTCTTGTCCCCGTCATCACTTTCTCGGAGCCGAGCAAATGGAAAACAAGAGGAAAATGGTAAAATTGCAGGAACCAGGGACTGGAACAGTCTGTCGCAGTAGCCAGCTTCGATCTCTACAAAACAGTGAGGAAGTGAACAGAGAAGAGTAGCTGAAAGATAAAAAAAAATAAAATAATCATCAGATGTATTGCCAATTTGAGAAAAAAAAAATAGTTTAATCAGTTATATATATATATATATATATATATCATACTTATTATAAAACCTAGGTTGTGTGTGTGTGTGTACGTTTATATATTGGATAGGATTTCCTACATTTTTCAACCGATTTCAACAAAACTTCACAGGACTACGTAAAATTACCTGGCGGTGGTTCTGACAGCGCCAAAAATTGGAAAAATACAATTGTTTTTGCACGAAATCAATTTGGAAACACGATTAAGAGGCATCGCGAGAATGAAAGGGGGACAACTTATCGAGTTATACTTATAAAACCCAGGTTGTTTGTGTGTGTGTGTGTGTGTTCATTTATATATGGGATTGGATTTCTTACATTTTTCAACCGATTTCAACAAAATTTCACTTTTTTTTTTTGGCAGGTAGTGTTTCTTATTGTCTTGCACACTTTTTTCTTTATTTTTACATTCAGAATGCTTTAAAAATTCCATTTACAAGACAATTGTTTATAATAAAATTCTATTCAATCGGTAGACTCATAACGATTGAAAACAATGTTTTTGTTTGAGTTTGACCAATTCATAAAAAAAAAAAAAAAAAAAAACTAATTAAGACATGCGTGTTCATCAACCTTAAACAATAATCTTTGTCAATTTTATTTTTCAGTCTTTATGATGGTCGATACTTGATCTATCTCTTACTGTTACATCCCCATGCAATGCCGGGCTCTACTGCTAGTATATATATATATATATATATATATATAAACACACACTATCAATCAAAAGTTTGGGACCACGGTGAATTGTTTCTCTAATTTAATAGAAAAGGCTAATTTTGCATATTTGGATAATTCACCTATTGTGCATATATGCAAACACTTATATAAAATTCAAACATATTTTTCTACAAGCCTAATAAATTTATTTCCATAAGCTTTGGAAATTTTGTTACAACCGGATACCTTTTCTGAATTGTAGAGCAGAAATTTACAAATACTTCAACTCCACTGTTTGGTAGAGGTTAAATTCCATTTAGATTAATGTGTGATTGAAATTAATTTTCAGAAAGAAACCATTAAAATACCAAGAAATAAACAGATTAGTATTGAAAAAAGAGCCCACGTAGAAATTCTTTCTATATTGGGTATTGCAAATGTCAGATTGCTAAAAAATGGGATGCATTATTGCCTCCAGCGACATGCAGAAACTGGTGCAAATGTTGACAGAAAAAAGATCTGGGAGGCTCAGAGTAACATATATTGTGGAGGATAGACACTTGATCATGTCTAGCAAAAAAAACAGAAGAAAAACAGCTTCCGAACTAATGGCTGAATTTAATTCTACACATCAACATCCAAGACTTCTTTCTGTTGGGCTTAAAGGATGTGAATCAGTTAAGAAAGCTCTATTAAAAAAGGAAAATAAGTTGAAAAGACTAAAATGGGCACAACAACACAAGGATTGGATTTTAGAAGATTGGAAAAAGGTACATTTGGTTAGTAGTGCATATATTCTGCATAACTAAAATCCAGCATTTTTTTTTTACATCATTATAAGATTCCATTCCAACTACAAAGAAATGGACAACTTGCTATGCAACTGTTTGTAGGGGACTCTTCCAGTAATGGAGTAAAAATAGAAAATTATTTCATGTTAAACTTGATGAATAAACCTATAATTTATTTAGTGTTCTTGTCACTGTCCAATGAAATTGGCTAACAGTCCCCAGGTGCACCAACCCGCGCACACACACACACACACAAATAATAAGCAATGATGAATGAAATATTATTTGTTGAATTTAATATTTAATAAATATTGAACATAAACAAGAAAATGTTTCATATTTTATAAGCAAAATGCAATTTAAAATGACATTCTATTCCATTTGGCTGGTACAGGTTATATATAGGGTAAATTGTCGCCATTTTATATTTTTAATTTTGAGCATGCACGTTGTTTGTTTTTGATTTTGTTGACTGCACAATAAAGTAGGGTCAGTTGGGCACCGTCTGTGAGAAAAAAAGTACTTTGATGCAATTCATGCCACCAGAAGTTTGGAAACAGCATTCATACCAGAAGCTCCAATAAAAACATTTCAATATTTTGGTGTCAATCTGAGGTCAGTGCAGAGGATTTGAAAAGAGTTGGATGAGTCTAAGGGTGATTACAAAGGTGTTTGGAGTGAACACTAGTGATGTCGATGTTATGCCTGCATTCATCTTCCCATAGAACTTCAAACTCAACACAGAGGCCTACATCAAGTGCCTTGAGGAGTTAGAGTTGCCCTGGGTCAGAGGGTAGCTGCTGGAAGACCCTATGTCTAGCAACAGGATTCTACACAATACCACGCAAGCAGGAGAACTCAGTCATAACTGACAGACAATTTCTGCAACCATATCATCCCTTACATCTGGCCACCTAATTCCTCAGACTGCAACCCCCTTGATTTTTATGTGTGAGATGCAGTTGAGCAAGAGACCAACAAAACTCTTTGTAAGACCAAAGATGAACTGAATGTAAAAATTATAGGAACATTTACCAACTTAAACAAGGAAACTGTCCAGAAGAGTTGTAGGAGATGCTGAAATCATCTGGAGGCTGTGGTTGCAATGATGATCTTTAGTATTTCAAGATATTTTATAAATAACAATGACATTTTTTAACATTTTTACGTGATTTTGACGACAATTTATCCATCGCACATCTATGTGTGTGTGTGTGTGTGTGTGTGTGTGTGTATATATATATATATATATATATATATATATATATATATATATATAGGCACAGTGGAGTAATGGATTGTGGCTTGGATTGAGGAATTGAAGAGTCAAATTCAAATTCCAGTTGAATGAATACATTGCATTTGCTTACATGCAAAATATTTTTTATCCCTTGGGAAAGGTTTCAATTCCTCTGTCTAGGAGAAGGACAACTCTGAATTCGAAACCTGCAGAGGGTTGTTTGGGGACCTTGTGCCATACTGTACACTATTTCTCTGTATTTGGCTCTTCCAAAAAGTGTGGTTGGTTCTGCACAAAGCCTTCACCACTAGAATCAAATGTGTGGGTAGCCTGGCTGTTGGTTCTAAGAAGTGATCTCTGATCCTCATACTTTGGAAATGACAGGAGAGTCCAGTATATATGCAATCACTGACCAGCATCTACAAATAGCCAACACACATGACCTGATGATTGTGCTGCAGCATGAAACAAACTGTTGCTGCTCAGTGTTGACCTCCGTGCTCATTTTTATATTTACATATGCTCTATCCCTTTTACCTATAAATATAGCATACCTTAAAACTATATTTTATCATATATGTATGTATGTATGTATGTATGTATGTGTGTGTGTGTGTGTGTGTGTGTGTTATGGTAATTTATTTTTTAATCAATTCTCTGTAAGCAAGGTGATAAAGCCACTAAGATGTAAGGGGCTACTGGAGGTGAAAGAGAATGAGAAGACTTTAGAAGGAACCAGAAACCCAATCCTAAACAGGAGACAATGGATAAACCTCTACTTCTGTTCAAAAGACCGGGCAGGCAAACCTATCTACTGGTTACCAGTCAAGTTGCATATAACTTGTTGCATTCAGATTGAACTGTTCTCTACACTACTGTTGAAGTGATATGTCTTTGAATAAAAAAAAAAAGCATTCAATATAAGCATGGGTCAATAACAACTTTGCTGTATTAGATTAAAATAATAGAATAATTTTGCAACGATGAAATGTTTGTTTTGGGTTTGCTGAAAGTTAAAATTTACATTATAATGTTATCTTCAGCTCATAGGAAATCTATCAACTTCCTATCCTTTGTATCTCGAAGTAGTATTTGTCCCCATATATCCCAACCAATTTTCTGCCATTAAATGGTGTTCTTTTCTTTAGGACAAAATTGTTGTGTTCATCTGAAAGTTAACTTTTTTTTAACCTGTGAAATGAAAAACATTAAGGTTAGGTAGTGTACAATTTAAATTTCACAATGTAAACATCAGGGGAGTTAACTAATTCATGAAATGTTCAAATGTTTAAACTATTTAAAACTACTAGTTAAAACCTAGATATTTTAAACTATCTACTGTAAACATTTTAAAACATTTATACAGTATTCACAATTCATTTTATTAAGGGTTGGTTTCAATTTTTAATATAGATAGCTTCAAGGATTTTTAGCTTATATTTATTGTTTTCATGAAAAAGTATAGATGTATTTTTCAGCAAGAATTTTTCTAAATTGCTAATATGGGTAGGCATGCTGTTGTAAAAGTTGTGATATGTCTGATGCAACACCCTGAGGATGACATTGCTAATGCTGAAATTACTTGGAATAAAATAATATGTATCAATATGGTCATTTTTGCTTGTCCTTCAATAAAGATACTAAGAAGCTTGTCCATGAATATGAGAGGATACTATTGAAAATAATTAGACAAAACTAGTCTAAATTATTCACTGAGACATGTCTTAATGAAAACATGCTGCCAAAATATATGCAGGATATATATAAATAAAAGTAGGAAATTTTTGTGTCATGCATTTTGTTTTTTAGGATTTAATCTGACTAAAGTCAAAACGCAGCATACAAAAACTGTTACACTTTCTCTAAGATTGTTCTTCATATATATAAATTTACATATTTTCCCATTTCATATATATATATATATATATGAAAATAAAATATATAAACACTTGAGCAGGTTAAACTGAATAATTAACACAAAAGGTAGAATACATTTAGCATAGCAGACATTTAGTTTTTATAAAGATCCATTTGCCAGTATTTCTCTCTAGATACAAGGTTGTCAGTAGGGAATTGTGAGAAGAATGTTGGGGTGTTGACATGTCTAAATTTGATTGTCGGGGAAATGTGTGTTCCTCTTTTGTTCTCTTAGGAATCTTGGACAGTTAGTAATGAAAGCAGAAGTGGAAGTAGGGTATGAGAAAGAAAGGGAAATAAAGAGTT